TGCTATTTACACAAGAACAGTGAGGTTCTGAAAATGTTCCTGACAAAAATGTTCAGAACTCAGTGTGAGAATGTTTCTCTGGATGTGTTTCTGAAGGAAGCAATGAATAAAGCTTTGAGCAGTAAAAATTGATCTTTTCCTTCAATTTCTTCATGGAGTCTCACTGGAGTCCAATCAGAGACTCTTACAGGATGTACTGCTTCACACTGAGAACAACCCAGAGATCATCAAGAACGTAATCCACAACCTCAAGCGAGGTCAAAAAAACAATGTCAGTCCTGAAAGATGGTTAAATCTGTCACACTGCCTGATTGAAATGAAGGATAATTCTGTTAAAGAAATGCAGGAATTTTTAAACTCTAAAAAAAAAAAAAATAAAAAATCTTACACTTGCACAATGCTCAACTTTGGCAAACATGATCCTGATGTCAGAGGAGGTGCTGGAGGAGTTTGACATTAATAAGTACAACATCAAATCAAAAGAGGGCAGAAGGAGACTGGTACCTGCTGTGGGGAACTGCAGAAAAGCTGTGTGAGTGTAAAAATCAAATAATATTGCAATATGAACATAATTTGAAAGTTGTGAGGGGGGTTTGATGAGCATTTTCTGGGTGTGTGTTCACAAGCATAAAACATAATTGACTGCAGTTATGGCTATGTCAGCTTGACAACTGCCTTTCTGCAGTAGTATGCCAAATGAGTTTTGTGACAAAACAGAGTTTTGCGCATATTAATTTTTAACGTGGATATTAAGATACAAGTGAAGTACAAAGCTTTGTTTACAAAAGCAATAATTAATTAGCAGGCAAATGGTACATCGCAACCATGGAAACATTTGAAATCAAGCTAAATGAGAGAGGTGTGTGAGCCCATAAATTAAAATGAAGTCATGCACAGCTTTGTGTTCTGTTTTGTGGGCTGGTGACTTAAATTTCTACAAATGTAACAATATTTCATCAATTGTTCCACTGAAACCTCTTGTTTATTTTCCCAAATCCTCACTGTGTCACCCTCTGTTTTTGCAGGGCATTATAAATGTTTATTTTCATGAGTTCCCTCATTTTAGTTAAATTTGGCTATGCTGTGCTAATTAATTCCTTCAGTTTAAATTAGTTCAATCTTGGCCACATCAAATATAAATGTCTTGCTCATGTGAAATATATAATTTTATGTTTGCTATAATTTGAAAACAGTGTCAATTGTTTTCGAATACTGGAAGAAAACATGAAGATATGAGACAATATATATTTTTTGTCCTGCTCGTGTCCCACAGCCCTCTCAAAGTTCTGGATACATGATGAAACATTTATATTTGTGGGGAAATATAATCTGTCCAATAGAACTGGTTAATGTAATAAAGAATCACTTATATTAGGAAAATGTTAGTCACCATAAAATATAATTCTTTTTATTAAATATTGTAGTGTTTATTATAAACAATTTATTTGTGCACTTCATTATTTTTTTAATTCATGTGCCCTCGTAATCTTTAATCAAAATATTAACCTCCCCTCCTCAAAACAACTCATCTTCTCTTCATGTCACAAGCTCTGACTTGAGGGCGGAGCTATCTGGGACTGCCATCAGCCTCAGTGACGTCAGTCATGTGAGGGGTAAACACAAGGATAAACTGCTGATGCTTCACTTTATAGAGATCAATGCATTGATCAGTGCTCACGTCAGTCATGGGGGAGTACGGTAACCCTTAAACATTAACAAAAGGATATTAGGATATTATTATTGACTCTCTGTGGTCATTAAAAATCCCAGGATGTCCTTCGAAAAAGAGTAGGGGTGTAACCCCAACATCCTGGCCAAATTTGCCCATTGGCCTCTGACCATCATGGCCTCCTAACAATCCCCATATTCGGATTGGCTTCATCACTCTGTCTCCTTTCCACCAACAAGCTGGTGTGTGGTGGGCGTTCTGGCACAATATGGCTGGCGTCGCATCATCAAGGTGGATGCTGTGGACTGGTGGTGGTTGAGGAGATTCCCCCTTCTATGTAAAGCACTTTGAGTGCCCAGAAAAGCGCTATATAAATGTAACAAATTATTATTGTCATTATGACAACATTACTTTTTGCACAAGGCATGAATATGACTTAACCTCATGGAGAATGCACTCAGTCAGTCTGTCTGTCTCCGTCTCGCTCTCTCTCTCTCTCACGCTGCTTCGGCTTGTTTAGTGTCGTTGCTCATCCATGTGGTCATCGTCCTCAATAAATAAAAAGGTTCTTTAAGCAAGGGTATTGGCAGGTATTCCGGTGGAGAGCAATCCCCCACAACTGACCGCAAACTGGCATTCAGATCTGCCTCCATTTTCTTAGAAACCCCTAATGTCCAATGATTCAATCAATTCCCAAAGGACAAATCAAGTCCCGCCCTCTCATTTCGGATACGGTTTCACTCGGATAGATGTCACAGTAGAGAAAAAAAAGACAATCGCAAATTCCGTTTCAGTCCAACTTTAAAAATATTTGTAATGGCACTCATTCCATTAAACGTTCCACAATAAATTACTGTAAAATTAAGAAGAAACAATTATTGAAGCATCACGCATAATGCTCATAAAATATGACTTTTAAATAAGTCATGTCTTTTACTTCCTAATGTAAAGACCAGAGAGTGAATGGTCAACCAGCATGATCTTTCCTGGTGACGTTTTTAATCGAGTATGACACCAGCATGCCTTTTAACCATTTCTCCCTTTTTCAGATTAACATCCTGTGAACTCACTGATCAGCATTATGAAATTGTGGCTTCAGCTCTACAATCATTAAACTCTTCTCTGAGAGAGCTGGACCTGAGTAACAATCACCTGCAGGATTCAGGAGTGAAGCTCCTCTGTGCTGGACTGAAGAGTGTCAACTGTCAACTCAACAAACTGAGGTTTGGCTTTTACATTTACTCGTCCAGTTTGTTAACCATCTGAGGTCGGTGAACCCTCCGGAGCATTCAGTTGTAGCAGAAAAACTTGAAATACTTTGTTGTTTTTGGTTGTACAGATAATAGTAAGATGTCATTCAAAACTGTAAAACAGAAAAACTGTGCCATTCTGGTCTCTGTGAACTTTTACTTTTAAATGAATCAATTCAAATCAAAAACAAATATTCACACTCTCCTGTGTATGAGGCTGCATAGCTGCTGACCAATCAAAGTGCCTATGACAAAGACGATGACATCGGGGGGCAGGGTTAGGGGTGTGCAACAAACAAATAACGCCGCCTATGGAGCCAATAAAGGAACATGGTTAGCCGCTTGCTAGCGGTAGACTGTTACATAACAGTACAAGAAAGTTCACTTACCACATAGAGATGACTGATAGGACAATGGCGAATGATTTGCAGATACTGAGCGCCACTGACAAATATCGAATCTTGTTAAATGTGTGGTAGGTACTGGCGCTCCGTAGTACAGAGTCTGTTTGATCGCAGATCTCGAAAGAGAGCGCGCATTCAAAAGCGGTTTCAATGCCCTGCATATTAGTAGCGGCTCCCTAATGCAATTTATATACAGTGTACTTACCCAATTATATAATTGCGAGAGAAACTATTGAAATATTTATTTTTATCCTCCCATCTCGTAGGCTATTTATTCCCTTTAGGGGTTCCGTAGTACACTTAATTTCCTTTCCAAACATGGAACTGGGATGCGGGGGGTATGGGGGGAGATCACGATGCCGGCTCAACATCGTGATGTCTGTCAGTCGTCGGCAATGGATGATTGCATCGTTTATCGGCCCAACCCTAATGATGACTCTTGTCCACGATCTAAACCCCTCTTTTAATTCTGCTATGCAAAGACTGCAACTAATTTGACATTAGTTTAAAGACACTAAAATGCATTTTTCCATCAGTCACTGATTATCCTTTCACATGAGATCAGATTTATAGCCCACTAACAAGTAACATTAATCAAAACATAAAATGTTTTTATTTGTTTGTTAAACTTTTTGTATCATTTTTACAGTCCTCTACAAGGGGTGTTGCAGGACCCTCAGCATTCCCACACCCCATGTCTAAAATCTAAAATATCTCTTAAAATGAAGCATGTTAACATTAACACTTTTTTGTAGATTATCTGGCTGTTTGGTGAAAATGATGACTGTCACATTTGGCCTGCAGGTCACAACTCTAAGCACTTTTGTTGTTGTATTATCTCTTTATTACATTAACACTTAGAATACTTTTGTAGATTATCTGGCTGTTCGGTGATAGAAGAAGGTTGTGCTGCTCTGGCATCAGCTCTGAGTTCAAACTCCTCACACCTGAGAGAACTGGATCTGAGTAACAATGACCTGCAGGACTCAGGAGTGAAGCTGCTGTGCGCTGGACTGAAGAGTCCTAACTGTCAACTCAACATACTTGGGTATTAAATGATGTATTTAACTCACAGTGCAGATAATTCTGGGAAACATACAGCACCTGGTCATCGATTTAAAAAAAATTAACTAATCAAATGGATTGGATCTTAGAAAGCTTTGAGCGCATCTATTTCTATTACACCGGTAACCTTCTGCATCGAATGGTTAAAATCAATGCATTTTGAAGGGTTGTAGGGGGGCCAATCGAATCTGAGGTGGCACAAATCAGATCCAAGGGGTACCCCTCAGTTGAAAACGCATTCAGTTTAGGGGCTTCAGAACGTATACGTATACGCAGTTTAGGGGCTTCAGAACGTGTATATATACACATATGGTTCTTTATTTTTTAAATAACACTTATTATTTAACGAACACTTTACTTTGATACCACAGCAAAAATTAGTAGCATATAGGGATGCAATGATTCACTCAACACAATACTGATTTCAAGATACGATTTTCTCATTTTTAACAAAACGAGACTTTAGACAAATTATAAATGAAAAGGTGTCCTTTTGTTATTTCTCAAAGTTCTGCTCATTTGTTTGTGAAATTAAAATGTAAAATAATAAAACTAACCTGACATTTTAAAACAAATCCCACTACAAATAAATAAATGATACAAATACATGAAATCTCTTCATACAAACAAACAAAGGCTTTGCCTGTGCTCTTTCCATTTAAAATTAGAGGCAACCACTGCCTTTTAATCACAATTCAAACAAAGACGCTAAATACATGTTATTTAGATTGCAATTAGATATTGCAATTAGATTAAAAAAATAACCGCCTGTGTTTACAAGAATACTTGACTAGACAGGTATTTTGAGATAACTTTGTGTGCACATGTTCACTGAAGTGCAAGGAGTCATGAAACAGGAATCAATTCTGTGTTCACAAGCTGTATGAAATGCTACTCTCTGTGTGCACACTTTGAGCGAGTGTGCACAGAAAAAGGTGGTGATACATTTTGGTAGCCCGACTAGAAGATACTATAGCCCTGGGATGCCGGGCTAGTGATTTTGCGAGCCCTGCTGAGCCTCATTTACAAAACAATCTACAGTCAGAGGCTGTGAAAAATATACTGTATATTCCTCAGACGTGATCTAGGATGCCTTTAAAGATAAACTGTCCACTTATTTCTGATGCTGGGATCCTTCTGAAGGCTGTACAGAGATGCAAAGAAGCTGTTTTAAAGTGGAAGTGAAGCAGTCAGTCAAGTTTACATTATTTGATAAAGTGATTTACACTTTAATTAAAAAATATATAACAAACAAAGAAAAAGGGATATTTTGTTAGCTTTTGGAGCAGTGGCGCCGCCATCTTGCAAAACCACAGCGTGTGACGCCACAGGTTTGCTCCGTTAGCCACTGAAGTAATATAAGCATTTCTGTACTTTTTGACCACAAATGTTATTTTAACACACATATTATGGTTTTCACCATAATTTGGATGAATATTCAACATCAAACTGTCTACATCACAAAGTTTTGATTGTGGTATCCCAAATATTGTTTTCATAATGTGAGGCGCAATGTAAACAAACAATGTTTTATACCATATTGTTAATGTCGCATTTTATTATGTCAGACCTTTCAGATATATTTGCATTACACTGGCTCATTCACTAGTAGTGGTATCCAAATACAATTAGCTTACCTGGTGTTAAGAGAATGCAGTGTTTAACTAATCTGAACGATCAGGCCAGTGCTGCTTCCTCAAGAAAGTTGATCATTTTCACGTGTTTTAAGCATTGTCAGATTAAACATTAAAGTGTTTTAAGCCATTCAAGCACGAGATGGAGCAAAAGAGATTTCAGTGTGGTGCTCACGCACTGTGATAGATCGTTTCTGTGCACCGCAGCTTGGACAGGATGTGAGTACCAAATTGACCTTGCAAACAGTCCTTTAAAAATATTCAGATAGGTCTAGCAGAAATACAGGTAGGAAATATAGACCGAAATTAAATAAAGTAACCTGCATCATCTTCACTGTATAAATAACATTTATATGAATCCTTAGTCAGTCTATAAAAGTTATTCAATCAAGAGCAATGAGTGATTTTCTAATTTGCTGTTTGATAAATATTAAGACACAAAACTGGAATATTAGGCTGCTGTTACTTCAAAACTTGTTGTTGTAGATTATCTGGCTGTTTGGTGACAGAAGACAGTTGTGCTGCTCTGGCTTCAGCTCTGAGTTCAAACCCCTCACACCTGAGAGAGCTGGATCTGAGCTGCAATCATCCAGGAGATTCAGGAGTGAAGCTGCTCTCTGAAACACTCAACCATCTGGACAAACTCAAGTAAGTTGAATATTAACAGTCATCCTGTCTTCTGTGATTGTGAGAGAATCTGTCATTGTTTTTATGGTTGTCACGAGATGCTGCTTTGATTCTCACAAAAAAGAAAAGAAGCCCAACTTCCTTTAAAACATAAAATACTGAATTATGTCCCACTTGGATACTGAGCTTCACAGAGACTCTATGAGAACATTGTGTGCCGTTTGGAAAAAGAGCATCTGTATGTTAATTGGAAACGGCTTTAAATCACTGTTTTTGACCTGGATTGAAGCTCTCTCTAAGGCTGGCCACACGTTTGAAGAATTTAAGGCAGATTTTATGCCTGATTTGCACCCCTGAACGATTGGGGGCGTAGTTCGATTCAAGGCTTGTTGCAAATTATTTTTGTCCAAAAAATCCTTTATTGTGTGGTGTCATTATGATTATATAACTCCTCCCGATCGAGACGGAGTGTCCCGGAAATCCAATCGTAAATATTAGAGCCCGGCCGATATATGTTTTGAGTATGTTAACCCTGATATGAGGGAAACTCTGGGTTTTCTGTTTCAGAAACAGTTTGGATTAGAAAACATTTAATTATGTGAAATCTTGTTTGATTCACACATGACTGATGCATTTAACTCACATTAGGTTTATTAATTTGTTTGTTTAAACTGTAATCTAAATGGATGGAGAATTTGTATACAATTGAAATACATAAAATGTACATTTTTTTGAGTGTATGTCATCGTGTGATTATATAAACTGGTGAATTGCTTAGTTGAACCAGTTCATTGAAACTAATTGTCCAAAATAACTAGTTTGCAGAAAATAATTGGACTTCCTCATTTGCTTGAGGCTATGGATTACAGGTAATATTGCTGAAAATAATGTTCAGTTTATTGCACAGACTGAATGTTTTGCTTTGTAAGACCTCAATATATCATCAGTTACCACAGGTATTACTTTTGTCTTGCATTTTTGACTCTCAAGTGACAGTAGCCATTTTATGAATCCCCAAAGACCAAGGTTTCGAGAAGGGTCTGGCCACAGACTTGCGCTTGCATTCTCAGATTTGCACTCTCCGTCACCTGCACTTCCTCTGCAAGTGACGTCACTCGAAATCGACATTTGCATTCTCCACTATCTGCGACGTCACTTGCACTCAACACCAAAAATGTTGAAGAATTATTGCAAACGGGGTAAAAAAGCTGCAATTATTATATTATAAGTATTTTAGTATTGTAACAGACCAAAACATTTGTTTTCAAAGATTTCTGTTGTGGCTTGTGCCTTTATTGTGAGAGAACAATAAATGCAGTATTCATAATGACTAGCGAATGAGAGGTGAAGGCCACAATACTAATGTTTTCCACCAGAGGGACAATTCCTTTTAGGTCTTAAAATCTGTGTAATTTAAAAAAATGGCTCTATAGATTAAAAAAAGGAAACAAATCGCCACCTTTAGCTATATTTTTATTTTATTCTGAACCTATTTCACAAGGAGAATTTTCACAACTATGAACCATTTGTATTACTGAACAAATAAAATAATGGAAACCGATAACCATAACAATAATGCAATGTCAAAAATAACAATAAAACTTAATAACACTTCCAAAGCAGTTCCAACTATTCTTACTCATATTACTGCATTAGACATTTCCAAAAACCAAATAGCAAAAAATTACTTTTTACAATTTTCATTGTAACACAATTAAAATAATCTCTAAAATCAAAATGGTGTAACGGAATGCTCCTAAAAAAGAAAATCCATTTGCAGCATTTATTGAAGAGTCCAATTACAGAGCAATCCACAACAGAGCATAATGCAAAAACGCATGCACAAAGTTATCCACAAAAAAGGAACCTGTAAAAACAGAGCAACAGAAAGTAATAAACCAGCAACAAAAGACAGGAGCAGAATCCAGACGCTCCACAAAAAGTCAATGAAATCAAGGAGGGAGGCGGAACGGAGGCGGACCACGGGCCAGGTCCATGTAGTGAAAGAGGACTGAAAACAGAGGTAGGCAAGAGGCCAGGGCAAAGAGCACCAAGGCAGAGCCGAAGACCACCACAGCAGAGCAGTTGGAACCGAAGGGCCCCATGGCAGAGCAGACGTACTCTAGGTTCGGGCCAAAATTCCAAGCTCAGAGCCCTCCCCTTGGACAGCATACCAAATATTTATTACTGACGGAATGCATAGTCCGGTTCTGTCAACACTGCACTGGCTCCCTATTAAACATCGTATAGATTTTCACGAGTTCACACTTACATATGTGAAGTGCAGTGTTGACAGAACCAGGCTAATGTGGTCATACTTCCTGGTTCTAGTAAGAACTCTAGCTGCTGCATTTTGGACCAGCTGGAGTTTGTTAATTAAGCATGCAGAGCAACCACCCAATAAAGCATTACAATAATCTAACCTTGAGGTCATGAACGCATGAGTTAACGTTCTGCATTTGACATTGAGAGCATAGGTCGTCATTTAGATATATTTTTTTAGATGGAAAAATGCAGTTTTACAAATGCTAGAAATGTGGCTTTCAAAGGAAAGATTGCTATCAAATAGCACACCTAGATTCCTAACTGATGATGAAAAATTGACAGAGCAGCCTTCAAGTGTTAGACAGTGTTCTAGGTTATTACATGCAGAGGTTTTAGGTCCGATAATTAACACCTAACACCTCAAACTCTAGAGTATGATTTCGACAATGAGTAGGTCTTGACACATGTTGCCTTACCCTAATAAAGTTCAGAATGTCTATGAATGCTGATCCCAAAGCATCTTTTTCATTATCAACATGGATATTAAGATCACCAACAATTAAGATTTTATCTGCAGCCAGAACTAACTCGGATAGAAAATCAGCAAATTCTTTAATAAATTCTGTATGGTGGCCTGTATACAGTAGCCAGTACAAACATCACAGGGGATTTATTATTAACACTTGGTATTCTGGATAATGTTATATGAAGCACCATTACTTCAAATGAGTTATACTTGAAGCCCACCCTCTGAGAAATACTGAAAATATTGCTATAAATTGAAGCAACACCTCCCCCTTTACCTTTTGGACGCGGCTCATGTTTATAACAGTAATCTTGGGGGGTAGACTCATTTAAAATAATGTAATCATCTGGTTTTAGTCCGGTTTCTGTCAAACAGCACATCTAAATTATGATCAGTGATCATATCATTTACAAAAAGCACTTTCGTAGAAAGGGACCTGATATTCAATAAGCCAAGCTTTATCATTTGTTTCTCTGTATTATATAATTTTTTTTTTTATTTGTTGAACATCAGTTAAATTGTTACTCTTAAATTGGTTTGGACGGTTTTTGTATTTTCTAGTTCGGGGAACAGACACCGTCTCTATAGTATGATATCTAAGTGAAAGAGTCTCTATGTGCTGAGAATTAACTAATTTCTGTGACGCGAGGCGGCTAGCAGACAGTCGGTTTAGCCAGTCTGTCTTCCTGACCTGGGCCCCAGTTAGTCAAGTACACACTCTAAGACTCTGTGCCATATTTCTAGAGAGAAGAGTGGCACCACCCCAAGAGGGATGAAGACCATCTCTTTTCAACAGGTCAGGTTGGCCCCAAAAACTCATCCAATTGTCCATGAAACCTATGATATTTTGCAGGCACCACTTAGACATCCAGCCATTGAGTGACGACAATCTACTATATATCTCATCGCCACGTTAAGCAGGGAGAGGACCAGAGCATATTACAGTGTCTGACATTGTGCTTGCAAGTTCACACACCTCTTTAACATTATTTTTAGTGATCAAACATCACAACATCATTAGTGCTGACGTGAATAACAATCTTACTGAATTTACATTTAGTATTAGCCAGCACTTTCAAATTTGCCAAGATGTCAGGCGCTCTGGCTCCCGGTAAACATTGGAGTATGGTGGCTGGTGTCTATATGTTTACGTTCCATACAATAGAATCACCAATAACTACAGCACTTTCATCAGGTTTCTCAGTGGGTGCGTCACTGAGTGGGGAGAACCTGTTTGATGTTTTGATTGGAACGGAAGAGCGGTGTTTTGACCCACGACTATGCCGCCTCACAGTCACCCAGTTGCCCTGCTGCACGGGCTTGAAGGTTTTGAGTTTATGCTGTCTCTTTCTCAGACAGAGATCGCTGTGCATTTACTATGGTGTTTAGTGTGCAGTCTAGTGCGTTGCTGCACAGTTGCTGGGGTGTTTTGGGTGGTTGCTAGTGTAGTAAATCAGCTCAACAGGGAAATATTTACGACTAATCATAACTGGTTATGATTAATAATGAATATTTAGATTATATCTTCGAATTAACTGTAGCAGAATCAATATTACAATTATTTGATCTGTCCGTCCAC